CAGGTTCTCGCGCGCGTTCCCGACGCGCGCCTTCGCGCGACGCCTCGCGGCCGCGAGGCCCAGGATGGCGAAGGACATCGGGCGCAGACGGTGCCATTGTCACGTTCGCATCTCTGGGGGCGCCATGGGGCCGACTGGGCCCCGCGGCGCCCGGGGGCCAAAGCTGCGGCCCCTTCTCGGAGAGGGCGCGCTCCGCGCGGCCCAGCGTCGCGAGACGCGTCAGGGGAAGCGGCAGTTGGCTGGGCAAGGCTGGCGCGAGCCGAGGCGCCCACGAATTCGCGCAGGCCGCGGCGCCCTCGGGTCCGACGACCTGGTTGCGCGCCTGAGTCGTCGGAGAGACGGCCATGATTTGCCCCTGTCTCTGCTGGCCACCGTCGGGAGAATCGTGGATATGGATCGCAGTGCGTCTGCCTGAGCCCCCTTCCTGCGCGCGTCCTCGACTGACTGCCGCCGAGTGCCCCCCGCGCGATAGCGCCCCCTGGAAAGTCAAGGGCCGCGCCGAGCTGCCCGGACATATCGACAGGGAGGAAAAATGGCGCTTCGCAGTCAATCAAATGCGCCGCGAGGGCGCCGCAGTCCTCCGCGGCGTCGACGGGCGAGGTCCAACTGGAAAAAATCTGGGTAGATCCGCCGACGGCCGCGGCGCCCATGTCAGGGGTCGGTGTCCGGGCGGGCTTCAAGCCATGGGCGTCTCCAAAATATCTGACCATTTTCCCGACGTGTTCTCTGCCGTGGACCCCGTGCTGAGTTCCGCGATCCACCGGGCCAAAGCCCGCGCGGACCTGAAGTCCGATGTAAATCTGCCCGCTGATGTCGGCGGTAGCAAACATAATAAAGGCGAAAGAACTGACTCATGGCTGCGTCGCAGGTCCCCGTTGACAGGCGCTGCGCGGAACGTCGCCTGCTTCGAGCGGGCGGCCTGGAAGCCGCCAGAACCGAACTGACGTTTGCGTCCTCGCTCGTCTGGCTCGGTCGCGCACTCCCGAGCCCGGCGCCCCGTCTTCCCGTGTCGGGCGCGCTTCGAGCGACTCGCCCATGTACTTGTGGTCCGACGTTTCGGTCGAGCATGTCCAGTCCGTTTCCCTCGACGCGCCCCCTCGCGGGAACCTTTGGACTTGCCTTTTTCGGCGAGGGCTGCATGAAGAAGCCTCGCCCGAGCTTCCGCATGTGCACGCGCTGTCGTGCTTGGTGTAATTGGCATAGGTGGCGACAGTCCGCCTTCGTCCAAAATCGCAGCCTCGGGCATGTCTCCAGCTGCAAAGAGCAATTCTTCGTCGTCGTCCATGCACCTGAGGGCCTCACTCAAGACGTCGTCTTCTCTGTTGGCGTCTGGCAGGGAAAACAAAAACTGACGCATGAACATCCAGTGGCATCCTCCTGGTCATATTCCTGTTCATGATGCCCTTCCTCATCTCCTTGGTCACCGACGAATAGCGAGGAGGGGCTCATCCCATGATTGCGATGGCCGGCTTTTCCGGATAGTGGTTTGCGCCCAAAACTTACGGAGCTTTTTCGCTCGCCACGTCAAAATCGCATGAATCCTCCGTCCAGCTCTGAACCGTACCCCAAGCGGCATCACTGAACTTTGACTCTCGGCATATATCATGTCAGCCCACATGGTAAGAAAACGAGCTTCTCCAGTTCTTGGAGAAACACTCGCTTGTGAACGCTATCGTTGACAGGACACATAACTCGCTTATGCCCGGTACCATCATACTTTAAACACATCCAAAATGCCTTCGGCATCCTGCGGTCTGGGTACCGCTGTCCTCCGTGGACAGCTGTTCCTCAATGAATTCGTGGATGCTGCTCTTGGGTCGTCCCTGACATAACGGTAAATAGGGCATCCATGTTGTTGTTGTTGTTGTTTCCCAGCTTCTGGTATTCGTGTGCCACGCCTGCAGCTGTCTCGTGTAAGGACCCAGCCGGCTGTCAGGATCTTGTCCATCCCCTGTGGGAAGTGAATCGTTTGATATATTTGGAACCTGCGGTTGTCAAGGAAATTGCCCTCTCCGTCGATCAGAAGATTGGGCAATGGCGTTTCCCCAATAGGTCGAAGTAAACGGCGTAGATGTCTCCGCAAAAAAGGCGTCTTCAACCGAGCTGGTCCAGCCGGCGAGCCACGACCTCGCGGGTTCCAACGTGATGAGGAGGACTGCGTTTTGGTCTGTGAATCTGTCCCCTGTTGCGCGAACCAGCGGGCCCAGTCTTCAGCTGACCAGCCCACCCCGTCATCACCATCCCAGAGAACGTCTCCTCGTCCTCCGCCTCCTGCCCATGGATCCTGTCCTGGCTGAAACCACGGACCATACAGAAGTTCGTGCTATGGTGGTTGAGCGCCAGCTTGACTGTCCATGGCGGCGCTCGGCTCACGAGGATAGGAAACGGGAGGCCAGGGAAAAGAATGCAGTGATGGTCGCCCGCAAACTGGGTGGTGGGAGAGTCGGCCTGACTCTCTTCGCGGATCGAAGCCAGTGGCTCCGCTGCCACTGTAGGAATGTACGGGGGTAGCTGTATGGAATACACTGGGGCACGTAGCACAATTAGGGAAACCCGTGTTATCATAAAGAGAGAGAAAGAGAGAGAGAGAGAGAGAGAGAGAGAGAGAGAGAGAGAGAGAGAGAGAGAGAGAGAGAGAAAAAAAAAAAGAGAAAGAGAGAGAGAGAGAGAGCATGTTCTCATTCCTTTTACGTGGGCTCGCGCGCGCGCCCGCGGCCAGCGCGCCAAGTAGCCAAAGGGCCCCGCGAGCCAAAACAGCGGCAAGGCAGAAGAGGTGAGGGCGAGGCGCAGGTGTTGGGGGGGCTGAGGTATGACAACCACAGGGTCCAGCGATATGGAACTCTGCGCAACACCATCTGTGACCTCGCCCTCCGTGTGTGCTGCCAGGAGTGCAACTGCTGCCGCTTCGCTGGGCCCTGGGGGGCCCGACGGATCAAGCGGAGCTGTGTCCTGCGTGAGCAGACCCCAACGTGGCCGGGCCATCCAGGTGTGCTGCCAGGCGTGCAAACGTAGGCGTTTGGCTGGGTTCTCGTGGAGCTCCAGCGGACCGATGTCCGACCCAGACTCAAACCAGACCTCGCTATCCCTGGGAGCTACCAGGCGTGTAACTGACAACGCTATGCCTCGTCTCTGGGGGGCTCCAACGGAGTGACGCCCCACGAAGACCCAAGCTAGAACAGCGCCGCCCATGGATGCGGAAAGGCGCGCACCTGTGGCCACTTTGATGCATCCGTGCGGAGCCCATCGGTGTGGTGTCATGCGCGAATCCGCACGAGATCAAGTCATAGCTGGGTGCTGCCAGGTGTGCGGCCGTCGCCGTTTTGCTGCGCCATGTTGCGGGTCCAGCGGAGCGATGTCCTATGCAGATCCAAGCTTGAACGCGCGTTTCCTGGGTGCTGCCAGGCGTGCAACTGTCGACACGTTGCCGCGTCCCTTGCGGTCTAGCGGAGCGATGTCCTATGCAGAATCAAGCAAATCCTTGCATATCCTTCCCCCCCAATTCTCACGAAGCCTCGTCTAACGCGGTGCCCGAACATCTGCCCGAGAGTGGCCGAACCCGGCGCCCGAAATGATCGGAACGCGCACGAGTGTGAACAGAGTTCATTGCTCGAAAACGAAACAAGGTTAAATTTCGGTCACAAATGCGGTCACACGATGTGTTCGGTAACAATCTCGGGCACCTGTTCGGTCACTCATTGTTTCGATCGCAAACTCTTTCGGCTGACATGGTTTGGGCGCCATGACAAATCCCTTTTTTCGTTCAGTATTGCGCGGCATCCGTCACAGGTCGCATGGGGCGTACAGCGCGACGGTTCCCTACATAGTTTTCCCAAGGGGTCTTGTGCCGTTGCATGGTCAACTACAATCTTTCACTCTGGGTGTGCCCGTCTATGTTGCCAACTGTTCCGAATGAGGTGAGTACATCCCTGGGTAACTCTTTCCCCAATGTGTACTCGCCGCCAAGAGAAGGCGGCGCGCAGAAACGGCTGGCCTTGTAAGATTGACGAAGCGTTCAAGAATGCGGCGGTCATCCTAGAAGCCCCAAGGCTTGCACGAAACCTTATTCGACCCCAATGGCCCTTTATCAAAAATCCCCGCCTGCTTGGACGCTGCATTTCTTCGCGAGCCGTTTTTCATCCTGAGCCGTGGTCTGACGCTCCGGGGCTCGGAAGCAGCCTCCAGAGGCCGAAGACATTGACAACCATGCCGTTGCAAGCCTGTGCGCGCAGCCCATGGGGAGACCAACAGATACCGATACCGCTGCTCCCCAGACCTCTCCCAGGGTGAGTCCAGCCGTGGCGACGAGGGTCTCGTAGATAGGCCCCAGAAGGGAAAAATAAGGGAAGGGTAGCGTTATGGGTATCTTTGCCTCCTCTAGCCTCTCAGATGGGGGTTCGAGTAGTTGGGGTCGGAGGGTCGCGCCGCATCGCCAATGCATCGCAAATGTACCGGCGATGCATCGGCGATGTACCTGCGACGTCGGCGATGCATCGGCGACGTCGGCGTGGGGGCACACGGACTTCGCATCAAGCCGCATCGTCGATGCATCGGCGATGCGGCGCGATCCTCCGACTCCATCTACTCCGACCCCACCTAGGAGGCCTAGACTTAACTTGGGCCTGTCCTCCTGCAGGGGAATGTTGGACGACACATAAAAAAAGTCAAACAGTACACCAATATGGCCAAAACATGCTAAAACAAATCGTCCCCGGCTATCTTTCTAATATTTTTGAATATTCATCCTGTAGAGGGACGGGCCCGACCTTCAGCCTAATTCCTCTGAGCCCAGGAGAAGTCGAGAAGTCTCGGGAGCGGCCAAGAGGGGGGGGTCCAAGAGGGGGGGGTGCAAAACATGACCGGCGGCATGTGCGCGGCCCAGCGGAGGCCACGGACGTAATGAAATGAGAAGGGGCGTCAGGAAATCTGGGGAACTATCGTGGCCCACGCCGTGATATCCACCCCCCCCCCTAGTCCTCACCCCCTCTTTTCCGCCCCCCGAGAAGGCGAGGTCGGCGAGGGGGGCCCGCGCGCCGCGGCGGGGGCGAGTGGCCCCGCGGCGGAGCCGGAGCGCCAGCGGGCCCGTGGCCCGGCGGCTCCGAGGCGCGCAGCCCTGCTCTGGTGGGGGCCTGGCGGCCAGGATTGGCGGCGCGCACGCAGTGCGGCCGGAGAGCGTTTGCGTCATTCCTCGACAAGTGCCAGCCTGGAACATAGCCCCATCCCCATGCCTGGGCATCTCCTCATCACGATGCCAATATCAGGGATCCCCTCACTTTTTTTTGAGGGCGCATGCCTAAGATTGTCATCGCCTCTTCGCGTGTCAATCTTAGGGATAGGGATAAGTTCGAGGCTGGTACGTAAGGCAAGCGCGTTCCACTACTCGCAAAGTCGCTACTCGCGACTGGTCTGGATCTGCCGCGGGGAAGGTGCGATACATAGCACAAAGGCAGACGTACGCTTTGTTCGACGTTTGCGAGTCGGCACTTTGCGAGTAGTGGAACGCGCTCGGCGAATTCCCCAGCGATCACGGGCGTTACTGGGGGGAGGAGGCCGGGAACCTCACGTTTCCCGCCAGGGCCGTCCAGAAATGTCCAGGGATAGCCGAAGACATCTCGGGCGTCAACAGCAATCGTGACGGTTCCCTGGGAGGGGGCGGCGCGGCCAATAGCGGCCGCTATCGCAACACACGAACAACCATCTCTCAAGTGGCGGCATCCAAACCCTACCCTCACCAACCATCGATTTCCTGAACCGATGGGAGGCGGGGGGCTCGCATTTCGCCACGTGTTCCACACATTCCGAACCCTACCCCCGCCGACCATCGAGCTGCCGGGATCGTTGATCGGCAGATCTAGGGTTAGGTCGGGCCTGTCCCCCCACAGAGGGATTTTCGACGAAAAATAAACAAATACTCCTAAAGTAGTCGAAGTCGAAGAATCGACATGCTCAAAAATAGTCGAAGAATCGTCCCCAGACTACATTTTTCCCCCAATCAAAGCTTGCCTCTGTAGGGGTCCTAGCGGATTCATATGGTTAGGTTAGTTTTGCCGCCGATTTTCGCTGCACGCCCAAGTGCCCGGGTGCTCGGGGGTGCCCGGTGCCCGGGTGCCCGGGGGGTGCCTGGTGGTGCCCGGGCGTGCCCAGGGGTGCCCTACAGCCCTCAGCCCTATAGCCCTATAGCCCAATAGCCCTATAGCCCTACAACTCTATAGCCCTACAGCTCTATAGCCCTATAGCTCAATAGCCCTATAGCTCCCTAGCCCTATAGCCCCGATGGGTTTTTTTCTCCGGCATCATACTATTCTGGAACCTCCCCCCTGTGCAGGGACAGGCCCGACTTACGTCTTGGGGTTCGGATTTCGCCGACGAGCGAGAAGGCCTCGGGCTGCGCACGAACAGCCCCCCCCGCAGTGGCCCCGGCTGGAGGAGGGAGGAGGGAGGAGGGAGGAGGGAGGAGGGAGGAGGAAGGAGGGAGGAGGGAGGAGGGAGGAGGGAGGAGGGAGGAGGGAGGGAGGAGGGCAGAAAGCTGGGCGGCCTCAGCACCCCGGCGCCGCCCCTGGCGGCGCCCCCGGGGGGCGCCCCGCGGCCCCTATAGTTTTGGGAGGGGGTGAGACCGCCAAGGACTCCCCACAGGGCTCCTAACTCCGCGCTTCGCGCTGCGCGGAGCGCGAACAGCCTTCGCGCTCTCGCGCCGCCCCCAAAAGGGGAGAAGAGGAGGACGAGGAGGAGGGGGGGGGGAGGAAGGCGGCCCGCGAAGCGCGACTGACACTGTGTGTTTTCGTTTTCGTTATGTTTTTCGTTTCCGGGGGGCCTGTTGAGGATGGCCCAGACTACCCGGGGGGCCTTCGGTGGGCGATCCGAGGCCTCAATTACCAGCGGGAGGCGGCCTTCTGAGAAGGACGGCGGCGTCTCGGAAGGCACGGCCTTCCTGAGAAGGGCCCGCGGAAGCTCCTCTGCGCAGGCCTCGTGGAAGCCAGGACGGCCTCTCGGATGCCACCTGCGTCTTTGAGCCCCCCACCTTCTCACAGAAACGCCGCCCCGTGGCACGAAAGACGCGGGTTCTGAGGGAAGCGGGTCCTGAACCCCATGGGGCCTTCCCCCAGGTCCAGCTCCGCCCTGAACCGGTTTGTTGACGGCCCCCGAGCCCGAGGACCCCAGAGGCCCAACAGCGATGAGAAACCTCCAGCACCCGTTCCCCCCCAGGACTGGCTCCCTCCTTGGCGAGCTCCACCTCGCGCCAACCCCTCCTGCCCGCCGCCAGGAAGACTTGCAGGCAACTGCCCACTCAGCACCGCGGGGCACCTTTGGACGCCCGGAATGGGCATGGCCAGCAGTGGGCACGATGCTCAATAGAAAATGTCGTCCAGCACCGCCAACAGACGCAGAGCCGCTGCCTGCCCAGCCTCAGGTCTGGGCACGGCACGACGAGCAGCACGTCGGCCTCCGCCGCCCGCCACGGGGCTTCGGCCAGACCGCCGGAGGCCGCCAGAGAGGCCGCCACGGGTCGGCGGCGAGCCCCGGGGGGGCAGCGAGAAAGGGGCGGGCCCTATCAGAGGGCTCGGAGGGCCTTGGGCCTTTTCTGACCAGTTGTCTGCGCCCTCCCTGCAGCCACAGGAGCCTTCTCAGAGGGCAGAAAAGCCTTCTGAGAAGCCCCGCCGCCTTCTGAGAAGGCCAGCCCCCTCTCACTCCCCCCCCCTGGTGCGCCGCCGAATGGAGCCGCCGCTCGTGGGGCAATGTTAGGGGGAGCAGGGGGAAACGTCGACGTTCAATCGGCGATGCATCGCCGTCAGAAGCAGAACGTTCCTGGGCGAGGTGGGCTTCGGGCCCCCATCGGCGATCATTGGGCGCCCCACCCCACCCAACGACGCCCCTGGGTCCAGAGCTTCCACATCAGAAATCCCTGCAATTGTGCCCTCTTCACCACGGGAAGCGTCCCCATGGAAAAAGATGAAGGCCCTACGTTTTTCTGCCAGCCAGAGAACCCTGCCCGGGACGAGGAGGACGATGACGAGGCCGACGACGTCCCACACAATAGATGTCGTGATGTTCCTGCCCGGCAGGCCTTAAATAAGGGGACAAAAAAACGACCCTACCCTGGGTTACAAGTGCGTGGTCTGTAAACCTCCTGAGAAGTCCCAGAACCTAGAAAGCCGCCAGGACGCCGCACATCACGCAGGGTTTATCCTGTCAGCCCACAGGAGGTTCAGCGCACAGCGCCTCGTAAACCAGGGTACGTAGGGGCGTTTTTTAAGCCCTTGGTTAAACACCTGATCGTCCTTGACGGTCTATGATCGCCTTTCACGGGCCAAGGGTACGGTCCCTCTTGAGGTAAATCATTGTGTGCAACACTTCGTCCTGGTATCCAAGACGGGACTGACGCCCTCCCCACAGATGGCCCACTGAAAAGCTGGATCTGCCATTCTAGGCTTAGGTCGGGCCTGCTCCCCCTACAGGGGGATTTTGGACGAAAAATTCGCCGGCCCAACGGGCCAGAGGCGTGCTAAGATCTCCGGTAACTGCTCTACAATGTTTCTACTTCGCGCGCGCGGGGCGGCCCCTGGGGGTCCCCAGACGAGAAGTACCCCGACCAGGTCCCGGCCGGTCCCCGGCAAGGTCCCCGGCAAGGTCCCCGCAAGGTCGGGCCAGAGATGCCGGAGCCCTGTTACAGGGCCCCAGGACGGGCCAAGAGGCCCCCAAGAAGCCTCCAAGACGGTCCAAGAGGGCCCCGAGACGGCCAAAGATCGCCCGAAGACGCCCAACAGGGCCCCAAGACAGCCCAAGAGGCCTCCAAGACGCCCCAAGGGCCTTCCAAGAGGCCTCCGAAGAGGGCCCCAAGAGGCCAAAATCGTTGATTTTCATTGTTTTTTTAGATGTTTTTTGCGTTCTGGCTTTTTCGGCTTCCGGACGCTCCAAGACGGCCCAAGAGGCCCCCAAGACCGCTCCAAGACGGCCCATGAGGCTCCCAAGACGGCCCCGGAACGGCCCAGGAGGGCCCCCAAGACGGCCCAAGTGCCGCCCAAGACGGACCAAGAGGCCCCAAGACGGGCCCAAGAGGGGCTCAAGAGGGGAACCGAGAACTGAAAAATCGAGCCCTCCGCCCCAGAAGGCGCCCAGGAGGCCCCAAAAAGGCCCCAAGAGGCCCCCAAGAGGCCCCCAAGACGCCCCAAGAGGCGCCCAAGAGGCCCAAAAGAGGCCCCAAGAGGCCCCAAAACGGCCCCCAAGAGGCCCCAAAACTCGGCTAGCCCACAACTGTGCGACAATATGGGCCGGCGGAATGAGCGAAGCGATTAAATAAAACATACGCAACAACTGCCCCAAATATATAAAAAATGCTCCAAACATTGTCCCCATACTGTTTGTTTGACTGTATTTTGAATACCCCCCTGTAGAGGGACAGGCCCGACTTAATTCTAGGCCAAAGTCCGCCATCAACACTGAACGTGGATCGATCGAGGTGTGGGCAATTCTGCTCCATGCGCGCCCAGAAGCCTCGGCGACATCCGTATCGCAGAATCAATCTCACCATCGCTCGGACGTCTATTCCCCGTGCATGTTTCAGTTTCGTGCGTGTTTTTTCCGCCAAATGGTCAGGGATGCTCCTCGATGGTCCTCGACGAAAGAAACATGCACACGTCCGAGCGATGCCAAGCACCCTCAGAAGTGGAGACTGGCGGTGAGGGCGCCAAGACTTCGAAGAGGGCCGCAAGGGACGGGAGAGGGGGAGGAGGACAGGATGGACGGAGAGAACAAAAGGCCTCGAGGGAAGGAAAGACAGAGGAGGTGACTGCCCCCTGGTTGTCCAATGGGCTGTCCCGTAGGCTGTCGCGTGGGTTGACATCTAGGTTGTTCCGTGGTTGTCCAGTGGGTTGTCCAATGGGTTGTCCCGTGGGTTCTTGTGGGTTGTCCTGTGGATTGTCCCACGATCGTCCTGTGGGTTGTCCCGAGGGTTTGTCCGTGGCTGTCGCGTGGTTGTCCGGTGGGTTGCCCCATGGTTGTCCAGCGGGTTGCCCCGTGGATTGTCCTGAGGTTCTCTCGTGGCGTGCCCCGTGGTTGATCCGTAGGAATTAAAATTTGGCATGTCAGCACACTTGCAAACGATACGCAATCCTGAATGCAATCAACACCCACGTCGAACTGTATACCAGACTGCACATCAAACTGCGATCGACATGCGCAATCCACTGCAGCCGACAGGGCATCAACACACGAACAGATGCATCGACACGCATATCGAAATGCACGTCCCTCACCCCCCACCACTAACCTCCGTATCACCCGAACGGTGGTCTACGAGGCAAGTGCATACGCAGGTATCTGGCCATCGCTCGGACGTCCATTCCCTGTGGTTGTTTCGGTTTCGTGCGTGGTTGTTTCGCCGAGTGATCCAGGATGCTCCTCGATGGTCCTCGCCGAAGGTAAAATGCACACGTCCGAGCGATGCCAAGGTATTAGCACAGCGTGCCCTTCTCTCGTCCCCCCATGGGGAGGCAGGAGGGCGCCCGCCTGCCCGGGACGAGTCAGGATGCCCCCCCGTCTGACATGAGTTTCGCAATCCTCCTCAGTCGACCGTCGCCACGACCGTCGCACCTATATGAAGTGGCCCTGGGACACACACACACATAAATACACACAAATAACAGGATTCCCCATACGTTCCCATATTTTCTGGGTTTTCGTCTTCCTCCCCACTTCCCATATTTTCCCGTATTATCCTGGGAGTCGACGATTAGTTGTGTCTGTGTATCTTTTTCCTCCTGACTATAATCACGTCCACGCCCTCGCTGTAAGGATGCAGAGGCGTGACCACATGGACGCGCGATCTCATGGACACGAGTGGACACTTCTGTGGCAACCCATGGGAGCCTCCATGCCACCTTGTTGGCACTTGCGGATCGACGCTGATCGACGCTGAATCGACGCTGACTCGGCGCTGTCTCATGCAGACGCTAGCCGCTAGCCGACGCTAATGCATTCTAAAGTTAAGTCGGGCTTGTCCCCCGACAGGGGGGATTTTCGACGAAAATTGAAATTACCCCCCCAAAAAATACTCCCAAATGGTCAAACACTGCTCAAAACATCGTGCCTGGACTATTTTTCACTATTTTGGAATATCGGGAGCGGCCAAGAGGGGGGTGTCCAAGAGGGGGGGTGCAAATCATGACCGGCGGCATGTGCGCGGCCCAGCGGGGGGGCCAGGGACGTAATAAAACAAGAAGAGGCGCCATGAGCTCTGGGGAAATATCATGGCCCCCGCCATGAGATCCCCCCCCCCCAGTCCTCACCCCCCTCTCTGCCGCTCCCGAGAATATTCCCCCCCTGAGAGGGACAGGCCCGACCTCAGGGCACACGAGCCTCCCACGAGTCGCTGCCGAAGGACACGGTCACGCGCGGGGCCTCCGCGCAGCGCTGCCCCCTTCACCCACGGGGGCCGCGGCCGCGGCGCCCAGGGCCCGAGGCCGCAGCCCGGGGACGCCGGCCGGCTGCTGCCGCCGCCGCCGTGGACGCGGGCTCTGTGAGCAGGGGCCGACCGTCCCGGCATTCCTCTGGGCATCGCTCGGACGTCCATTTCCTCTGTTTTTGGGGGGTTTCGTGCGTGGGTTTTTTTCGCCGAGTGATCCAGGATGCTCCTCGGTGGTCCTCGCCGAAGGAGCACTTCACACGTCCGAGCGATGCCGAGTCCTATGGAGCCTATGGTCCTACCAGCAGGTCGGGCCTGTCCCCCTACAGGGGGATTCTGGGCGAACAATGAAAACTACTCCACAAATGCCCCCGAAGGGCCGAAAGATAATCAAAAAATCGTCCCCCGACTTTTTGGAATACCCCCCCTGTAGAGGGACAAGCAAGACTTCATCCTACCACGACATGTTCTTAGAACCCACACATGTTCTACGAGCAAAACAAAAACAAGGCTCTTAGAACATAGGCCCGACGTGCTAAAACAAGGACGGACTCCGCCAGAGCTGCTCGAAGAACATCTCGTGGGAACCACAATCAGTCCTCAGAACACTGTGTGGTAGGGCTATAGGCGAGCCAGGACGCTTCGCCACTGCTCGACGACGTGGACGCTGGCTCCTGGCACCGCGCAGACCGCCCCACACTGACGATCCCCCTCCTCCGTCGGGGCTGGGGCCTGGCCTGGCTCGGGCCACTGGCGGCCTTCGGCCTCGAACGCCCCGCCGGGGCCCAGCCCAACGGGGCGGGGTTCCACCTGGAAGCGCCCGCGCCCGGGCCGCCGCCGAGGTCGGCGCGGCACGACCCTTTCGCCATGGTGTCCGCACCCGGCATCCGCAGCTCTGACCCCCTCCCCCCCCGCAAGCCTCTCGCTGCCGCCCGCCTCCGCGTCACATGGTCAAGACCCGCCTCGTCAGCCTCGGGGGGCGGGCACCGACTGTCCCGCCCAGGCGTGTCCGATCCTTTGGCCGAGGTCCGAGGTGAATCTACGTATGCGCCCCTCGGCCCACCCTCGGGTGGTCGAATCCGCCACCCCTTTTGTGAACTGCTGCGTTTCTTCTGAGGAGGTTGAGGAGGGAATGCGGGCCACAGACGCAGCCTGATATCACAAAACAACATTAGGCGCTGCCGACAAGCGCCTTCGGACGATAACTCGGAGGGAACCTGTCCAGGTACTCCCGCTTTGTCTTTGTTGAGCAAGGAAGGCATAGCGTGAGGAAAGGGAGATGAAGCGGCGGATGATGGCATAAATGGAGGGTTGAGGTCCAACGAGGTGCGGTCCTTCAAGGAGACCGCTGCTTCTCTTACGTCGTGAGCTTCTTCATCATGGGCCTCGACAGATTAGAATGTCGGAGAAGGTTGCTGCGCTGTCATTCGAATTGATGGAATCATGGAACGTGGTGGAACATCACGGTCGGAGCTCCAGGCTTCGTGTTCAACTGTGGGACTTCTCAAGCCGAAGCGCTCCCAGTGTTTTTTCATGGCGCCCGGATGTGGGGATGCTCTCTCGGCTTGGTTCTCGGACGGGGCGGCCACCCAGGACGACTCCAGGCTGACCGTAGGGGGAAAACTCTCGACGAGGCGCGACTGGTGGTAAACACCCTGAGGCCCGACAGCCACAATAATCACCCCGAAGGCATCGAATTGCGCCCAGACTTCCGACGCCGTGCTTTTTTGCTCAATGCGTGAGCCATCGGGGCTCTCGACCGAACCCCCGGGAGCTGTTTTTCATCCCGAGACTTTTACGGGCCTGGGCCCCATTCACACAATACGTCCTGATGTTTCCAATGCGCGGGCCCCAGCAATCTCGACCCCTTCCCTGGGGACCGGAACTTCCAGACCTGTTTCTGACGGCCCCGCGGCCAGGAAACTACCCATCGGTGGCCGAAAACGATGAAACAACGCGACCTCATTCTTCGGTTCAAGGCGATGAAGTCGGGGACCCTGGCCTCGAAATCACCCCCTGGCCCGTCCGGGGAGTGTCTGGCGCGCACTTCGAGCTGCGTCCAGCCGTGGCGACGAAGGGGCTCCAGGCCCAGTAACACAGAAACGTCAACAAACCTCGACCCTCCATGCGCGAACCTGGAGGCCTGCCGAGGCCTCTGGCGATCTCCGCGGGGGCCCCAGACGCCGAGAGAGCCCGCGCAAGTCCAGAGGAGCGTGCAGAAAAACGCCCAACACCAACTTCCGAACCTCCATCCTGGACCCTCGACGCCCGCAAGGGTCGGCGCGGGGGGGCAGTCGCCCCCAGGGCCGATGGGACGTCTACACCCTGCGAAATGCTTAAGAAATCATGGGTTAAGAAATTCATAGTCTCAGAAGTTGAATAAAAACCCAAACATTCTATTCAAATCTTAGGATCTACATTGAAACATTAAGAATAAACGAGACTCTGGCCCAAAATTTAAGTTTTCTTAAGCATCGCCCAAGGTGTAGCCGTGGCGACCGGTACGGGGGCCCTGGGAGCGGCAGGTGCCCCTCGGTCCGTCGAGGGCCCCCCCTCCCTGTCCAAGAGCGCCGACTCTCGGCGCCTCGAGGGGCCCCCCTGGGCAGGATCGGCGTCGTGGGCGGCGGCGGTGGCGGCCGCTCGACCCCTTCCCTGGGGCAGGCTCACCGTCCCAACTCTTTTGACGATGGCACCGCCGGCAAGCAGCCACCCGAGTCCGAACACAAAGCCGACAAGAGACCGAAGAGACCTCCAGAATGGGGTCCGGATGGGTGGGTGCAGAGGGTCGCGCCGCATCGTGAAGACACCGCCGATGCATCGGTGACGTCGGCGTGGAGAAGATCGGGCGCCACATCGACCCGCATCGCCGATGCATCGGCGATGCGGCGCGATCCCCCGACCGCACCAGCTCGCGGCCCCCCGCTGGGATGCCTGGACCGCTCCTGGCCCCGCGCCTGAGCAGGAGCAGGGTCAGCAGAGGCGGAGAGGCCGGGAGCGAGCGGGCGGGCGAAGCGCCGCAGATCGCGCCTGGGCGCCGCGCCTGAGGGGCGCAGGGGGGCGACAGAGGGCCGCTGAACGTCTGGCGGCGTGGAAAAGCGGGCATCACGGGGAGGAGGAGGAGGAGGAGGAGGAGGAGGAGGAGGAGGAGGAGGAAAAGGAGGAGGAGGAGGAAAAGGAAAAGGAGGAGGAGGAGGATGGAGAGAAGGAGGAAAAAACATAGGAACATGACGGTGCCCGTGAAAAGCACCCATTCTGCCCCATGAACTCTTCGCCGAACGAAGCGAAGAGGTACTGGAGCGGCCTGTGTGTAGGTTACGCGTGCCATTCGTGCAAACCTCCAAGGTTTGAGACGAATCCATGTTCAGTAATTGTCATGCACCTGCGCTGGTTACGGGAAGTGTGGCTTCCAGAGCGCACAACGAAGCTGACAAATAAGTGACCGTGAACAAACCTGCTGCAATGGCAAAGTGCCCAGCCGTCGATGTTGAGCCATCCAGCCAAAGCTTTCCACGGGCACGCGCGGCCCGCAGAGCATGCTTGATCCCATAAGCGTCAAGACACTATGCGAGAAGTACCAACCAAGGCTTGACAGGCTTGAACCACATCCGACTCATAAAAACGTACAGTATGGCCAAAAGTTTGTAGCACTGTAAAATGGTTTACACATTCGCACTAGCCCATGTCAGCCTGATGCGCGAACGCGTGCCGAGGGGGTCGCGTGTTGCTCCGATCAAAAGCCAGCCCGCTGCCACCCTTCATTCATTTCATTCATTCACATCATTAGCCCCGAGGTTCAAGCATCACGTGCTAGTGCACGACACGCAGCTCGCAACTCTCCTTCAAACGGAGCGATGTCCCAGCTTTATGGCGGGCCTAAAAACCCCCACCCTGTGCGGTGGTCTCTCAGCCGAGGGGGCCCGACAGAGCCCCAGCCTGAGACCCACGACCTCTGACGTGTGGAGAAATCGAGGGGATCACATCAGAAAACGGGACGATCAAGTTTGCGATCGATGCCAAACTCTAGTTTGCTGCAAAGAGTGTTTGCTCGAGACTAAACTGTCAAAACTACGACTGCCAGGGAAAACATTTTTAGTGGCCAAAAACATCGTGCACACTCGAAGGTCCGAGACTGGGGACGAGCTAAGCCAGCTCCTGGTCTCAGCTGAGGTCGCCTCGCTTTCACTCACTACTGCAGCCCCCTCCCTGCCCGAGCCTTTTTTTCATTGCTCCCGCCATGTGGTGTCCCACCCATTCCCGTGTCTTCGATAATAACATGAATAGTTTCATGTGCGTCGTCGCTGGGGCCCCGCCGTACTTCTGCGTGGCTGCGGTCGTCCTCAGCGCCAGGTATCCCCCCATCAGTGGCCCGTGGACTACGAGCCTCTTCTTCTCCTTCTCGTACGTGCGGTCGTCCTTGCATGCGGGCGCCAGCTCGGACGTCTGCTCGTTGTAGTAGTTGTCGTAGTCCGTGAACATTGTTTTGACCTGTGTCTTGAGCGGGTCCTCTATTTTGAGCTTCTTCACCGCCGCAAATAGGCCTCCCCTCCCGTAGATCTGTAGAGGTCCAAGGTCGTGATTTTTTCCCTGGTGGCCTTGCCGCACTCGGCTGTCTGCCCCTGACTGTAGAGGATGGGCGGGCCGTCGCTCCTGAAGGCCCAGGCGTCGAAGCCGACGCTGCTTTGTCGAGGTTCTGCTGGGCGCACCGGGGGAGTTGTTTCACGATCATATTATTCTTGGTGTGGGTGGTGAGTTGTGGTTTCGCCTCGCACGTGTCCTTCTTGTCTTTTGTGTCGTCCCCGTCCTGGTTGCGCTCGAAGGGCGTCTCGGAGTCGCCGTTGCCGATCAGCATTAGCACTGGTATGGTCGAGGAGTGGGCTTGGTCCCGGAAGATGCTCGATCCTGCTGTGTTCGTATAATGAGGCCAGATCTGAAAAGGCTGCGAAGCCGACGGCGCACGTGGGGCCCTTCACGTTTGTCAGAAGCCACTTCACAGTGTTCCGTCCCATACGGCATCGGCCCTGGGCGTAGGCAAAGATGAAGTGATTTTGGGCACAAGCCCAGCTTTTCAGGACCGTGTAGCAATTAGGGTACTGGTTCGTGATCACGCGGCTCGG